CCCACCAGGCCAGTTTGCAAATGAGGCCCTTATTTGCCCTGGAGGGCAGGCACAATACCTAGCTTGTGGGGGTACACAGAGCTGCTCTGTGCCCACAAGAAATGTTCCCCACCCCTCTGGGTGGCAGGCCAGACCTGTGGCTAAGGGCCAGGACCCCTCTACCAGAGGGAAGGAGGCAGAGGGTTTGGGAGCTGCCTGCTTGACTAAGCAGACTGATTGGCTGCTACTCCAAAGGGAATGTGCAGATATGTTGGGGACCCTAGAATCCAGCAATGGAATAGATACTGCCTGCTGTGCCCTTTTCCCCTGGGCACAGAGGGGAATATAGCCCAGGAGAGGCTGTTACTGGCTCTAGGGTAGAGCTAGCCTATCTGGGGGTGGAGGAGGCAGGAAGTGGGGACTGTAACAGGTTCTGACCCTGACCAGTTTCCCCCACTCCCGTCCCCAGATCTACCCGGACCCAGAACTGGAGGTACAAGTGTTGGGCCTGCCCATCCGCTGCATCCACAGTGAGGAGGGCTGCCGCTGGAGTGGGCCACTTCGTCACCTACAGGTGAGGTTCTGATTGGGTGAGGACTACCCCTCCCTTGGCAAGCACTAACCAAAGCCCTTCCTACCAGGGTCACCTGAATACCTGCAGCTTCAATGTAGTCCCCTGCCCCAATCGCTGCCCCACCAAGCTGAGCCGCCGAGATCTGCCTGCACACTTGCAACATGACTGCCCAAAGCGGCGCCTCAAGTGCGAGTTTTGTGGCTGTGACTTCAGTGGGGAGGCCTTTGAGGTGGGTGGGGCCTGGCTTAGGGTAGAGGGAGAGTGGGGCACCTGGTGGCCCAGGAATTCCTTAACTCAGTCCCTCTGGCATTTCCATAGAGCCACGAGGGCGTGTGTCCCCAAGAGAGTGTCTACTGTGAGAACAAGTGTGGTGCCCGCATGATGCGGCGGCTGCTGGCCCAGCATGCCACCTCTGAGTGCCCCAAGCGCACCCAGCCTTGCACCTACTGCACCAAGGAGTTCGTTTTTGACACCATCCAGGTGAGGCCCTTTCTGAACTGGGCTGTGGGGCAGGTAGCAGGGAGTCAGGCTACTGAACACTGTCTCTGCCACCCTAGAGCCACCAGTACCAGTGCCCGAGGTTGCCTGTGCCCTGCCCCAACCAGTGTGGTGTGGGCACTGTGGCTCGGGAGGACCTGCCAGGCCACCTGAAGGACAGCTGTAGCACTGCCCTGGTGCTGTGTCCATTCAAAGACTCCGGTTGCAAGCACAGGGTGAGATACCCCTCTTCCTTCCTGTCAACCCCTTCTTGGTCCTTGAAGCCTCAGACGTAGACTTGGGGGCCCGAGCCCATGGTGGTCCCTGCTCTGCTGCTCTGAAGCATTCAGCTCTTCCCCCTGCGGGCCAGCTTCATCCTCCCAGTGCCCTCAACCTTCCTCACTCAGAGCTGAGTTCCTGCCACCCTGTGCCCACTCCTCCCCTTAACATGGGCCTGCCCCTACTGATAATTCTCCTCCCTTTCCCCATGGCCTGGGGCTTTGCCAACAGTGCCCTAAGCTGGCAATGGCACGGCATGTGGAGGAGAGTGTGAAGCCGCATCTGGCCATGATGTGTGCCCTGGTGAGCAGGCAGCGGCAGGAGTTGCAGGAGCTGCGGCGAGAGCTGGAGGAGTTGTCGGTGGGCAGTGATGGTGTGCTCATCTGGAAGATTGGCAGCTATGGGCGGCGGCTACAGGAGGCCAAAGCCAAGCCCAACCTTGAGTGCTTCAGCCCGGCCTTCTACACACATAAGTATGGCTACAAGCTGCAGGTGTCTGCATTCCTCAATGGCAATGGCAGTGGTGAAGGCACACATCTCTCGCTGTATATTCGTGTGCTGCCAGGTGCCTTTGACAATCTCCTTGAGTGGCCCTTTGCCCGCCGTGTCACCTTCTCCCTGCTGGATCAGAGCGACCCTGGGCTGGCTAAGCCACAACATGTCACTGAGACCTTTCACCCTGACCCAAACTGGAAGAATTTCCAAAAACCAGGCACTTGGCGGGGCTCCCTGGATGAGAGTTCTTTGGGCTTTGGTTACCCCAAGTTCATCTCCCACCAGGATATCCGCAAGCGAAACTATGTGCGGGATGATGCAGTCTTCATCCGTGCCTCAGTTGAATTGCCCCGGAAGATCCTCAGCTGAGCACAGACAGGGCTCCAGGAGAAAGGGGGTGGAACATGACCTCTGTCAGGCACTGGCTGAACCTGGAAAGGGGGCAGGACCCCCTTTCAGCTGCTTCTGCAGCGTAGGTTCTGTTACCCTCTTCCCCCTCCCCTCTTCCTTACCACCCTCAGGTGCCTCCTATTGGTGCTTCAGCCCTGGCGAGCAGGTCTTGGGGTCATCAAGGGCTTGGAAACAAGTGACCCTAGGGCTTGTCTCCTCTCCTGGGCAGGGCAGACATGCCTTGGTGCCGGCCACACTCTACCTGGACTGAGGTGCCTGCTGGTGCTATGTCCCAAGAGCCATAAGGGGGAGGGGGAGTTGGGTAGTTAAAGAATCTGTCTTGAGATCTGATTTCTCTTCCCCTTTCCCCAGCTGTGCCCTCTGGTTATTTATTTACTTAGTGCCAGGAGGGCACAGCAGGGAGCCCTGATTTTTAATAAATCCTGAATTGTATTTATTAATTTGGTTCCGGTCTGACTCATCTGGGTTGGTTAGGGCCCTAGAAGGCTGGGTCCAACTGTGAAGGCAAAGGACCATTCAGAGACAGGCTGCTACCTCTTTGGCCCCAGGATCCAGCTGCCCTGATGGTCGCCCTCTGGTGGAGGACAGGGGAAGTGCACCAGCCTTTGTGTGGAGGAGATGCCTGCTGCTGCCCCCTGGTGGTTAGAAGGGAGAGGTTCAGGACCTGAACATTTTAGCTGGAGTCCCAGATACATAGCCCACCAGACTAGTGTGTCTGCCCTAGGCAAATCTTTCTTGGTCTAATGATAATGTTTACCATTCATTTAGTACTTTCATGTGGCAGACACTGCTAAGCACTTTACATGCATTTCACTTAATACAACAGTGAAGTGAAATAGCTTTTATCACCATAATAGAACCTATCTTAGGCTGTACTGAAGATTTAATGAGATAAAGCATGTTCCCAGCACAAAATAAGTGCTTGATGAATGTTAACCTAACTCCAAAGCCCATCCCACATCCAGAGACTAAGCTGAGCAAAGGGCCTTCTAGGTGTACAAAGCACTTGGATTTTCTCATCCATGCTCATTTACTTTTCATATAAGTGTCAATGGGTGCCTGTGGTTATCCACATTTGACTGATGAAATAGGAACAGAGGAGTGAATTGACTTCAGTGATCTTTCAGCTGGTTTGGGGCAGGGCTTAGATTCTGCTTCAAGCTCTAGTAATTATTTTGCTAATAGTTAGATTTGGGTTTGTGTCCTTACTGTGCTTCCTTTTGGGCAAGTTGCTTAGCTATATGGGGGGCATCTTTGCTCTCACTGGTAAAATGAGTGTAATCCTGCTCACCACCTAGATTTGTTGTAAAGATGAACCAATCAGCATAAAGTGCTTTACTCTTGGCTGGCCCTGAGAAGAGGCCCAATGATGGAAATTATTATTTAGTAAAGGGAAGGTTCAGAGGCTATAGTTCTTGCCTTCACCACCACACAGAGCTCAGGTGAGAAGGACCCCTTCTCAGAAAGTGACAGGAAAGGGTAGCCTAAGCCAGCCAGCCTGGGAAACTAACCACCAGCTTAACCTTCAAAAGGTCAAATTCACGGATCTAGGGAGATGGGGGGTGGGGAGCACCGGCTGGCTGCCTTTCTGATAAAGATGGCCCCTTCATCAGATAAAACCATCTTGGTACAGTGACATCTGGAAGTTAATAGGATAGCCATGGGCTCTAGCAGAAGAAATGCCTTCACTTAAGTGCTTGTTTCAGGCAACAGGTGGAACCATCTTTCCAAGAGAAGTTAGATACCCTAGATCAAGGTTGGGCTGTCTGCTGGTAAGACTTCCACTGCACCATTCCAGGGGAACATGTCTCCTAGAGTTGTGTGCAACAATGGAATATTGCAGTCAGCCCCATGCCCAGGTCCAGCCCTCACTCCAGTGGTGCTGCAGGCAGTTGCCACCTTGTGGAACTCACCCAAGGATATTTCCTCCATTGCTTTTCAGAGTGGAAAGGAGAGAGTGAAACATGGATGTGAGAAAGACACATTGACTGGTTGCCTCCCGCACACGCCCCAACCAGGGCTGGGGTTCAAGCCTACAACTGAGGAACATGTTCTTAGCCGGAATCAAACCCAGGATCCTTCAGTCCATGGGCCAATGCTCTGACCACTCAGCCAAACCAGCTAGGGCTTAATTCTTTTTTAAAATCTCCACCCAATGACATGCTTAAAGAGAGGGAGAGAGACATCAATGTGAGAAACATCGACTGGTTGCCTTCTGTATGAGCCCCAACCAGGAATTGAACCCACAACCCAGGTATGTATCCTGACCAGGAACCAAACCGGCAACCTTTCAGCGCACAGGATGATGCTCAACCAACTGAGCCACTCCAGCCAAGCGTGGCCAGGTTTGCACCAAGTGTGAGCAAGCACCTGCCCCAGGAACTGTTCACTGTGGAGGCAGAGCTGGGTTCAACTCACTGTCTACCTTGGGCTGACTGCAGGTCTCATGTGACCCAGGCATAAGAGGGCTTTCTTTCACAGGGATGACATGAATAAAGGGGGGAAAGCCCCTTCACAAAAGGGCAACCCACAGATACAGGTATTCTCAGGAGGGGAGGGTGTTTCAACTCCAACAGTTCTGACAGCCACCTGCTGACTCTCGCTTCTAAGGATCTGATTCCACCCTCACCGCATCCCACATCTCGAGACGTCGTCCCTTTCCTCCATTGCATCTTAGCCCAAACCCACCCTCAGCAGAAAGGGGAACAGGGAATCCAGTTGACACAGGTTTGAACTGCACAGGTCCCCTTAAATGTGGATTTTTTCCAATAACTATATCGCCTTGTTTTAAAATTTTCCCTCTTGCTTACTTTATTATAATAGAGCATATACTACATGTAACATACAAAATGTGTTACTCAGCTGTTATCGGTAAGGCTTCCAGTCAACAGGTTATTAGTAAAGTTTAGTCAAGTTATTTAGACTGTGGGGGGGCTAGAGGAGCCTCGAACTCCTCCACACCCATTGTTCAAGGGTCAACTGTAAATAGCTCTTTCGGGTTTTTCCCCCCTGCAGACAAAAAGGGAAAGTTCTCCAATACTCAACCCTTAGGATTCACCAAGAGAGCTACTTTTCCTTTTACAGATTATAGCACTTACTACCTCCACCTGTCAGAGGCCCTCAGAAATCCCAGTGTGGGAGGTGGGAGGAGGGAGGAGGGAGGGATGTTTCATCTTAAATGGCTTATTAGCAAACTACCCATTTCTCAAAGACTTATGGCCCTTGGGGAGAGTGGCAGTACAGTTCAGACCTCCACTGAAGGGCAGCAAACCATACTAAGCCATCAAGTCCCACCAAGGCCCTAGCAGTCCTGCCTACGGAGAGAGGTCCAGCCAGCTGGGTACTTCCTGGAGGCTGACTTCCCGCCTTACAATCCCCACACCTGGTCTGCAATAATGGATTGGGAGGGCTTCTGAGTGGAATGAACAGGGGGTTCCCGTTCGGAAAATGAGGAATTACTTCCCGTCTAGTAAATGAGACGTTAGAAACCACTATAAACGAATAGGACAAGATCGAAAGGTGAGTTTTTTCTTTTTACTGGTTTATATTAATCTTAAAAACCCCATCACGCCCATAAACCACCACAGGTGAGAAGATGAGGGAGATGGAGAACGAATGCTACAGTATATGGATAGCTCAGGGAAACTCAAGTGTTCCCTAGGGGCAGTGTGGGATGGAGGCAGGGATTGTGGATAGGAAGCCCTGGTTTGGCCTTATTGCTGGTTGGGGGTTGGCTGGCAGAGGGGTGAGGGGCTCAGGGTGAACTAGGAAACATCTCACACCAAAGGCGAGGGCAGCTGGGGTGGAGGTCGGGTCACAGTACATTTTCCATGCAGATTAGAGGTGTGAGTGAGAGCTTCAGAGACTTGCACCCCCACAGAGGAAGAGATGGGTTTGAGGTTTGATATAAAGTCCCCAAGCTGGTGTCTGGTCCAATTTCGTAAAATGGCAGCTCACCTTTGGGGAGAGGCATTAGAAAAAAATCACAGCAAAAATATCTGGTTTGGAGCTCAAGCAAGGGATAAGGGGAGACAGTAGTGCTCTTTCAATTTAACTCAGAACGAAGAATTAGAAGGGGGCCCTGGGTGAGATGGTGGCCAACACCTTGGGAGAAGGTATTGCACCAGAAGCAACAGGTGCTCCTGGGGGCTCAGGGACAGGGAGGTACCAGTGTTCACAGACGTCAGGAAAATAATCAGGAACAATAAATTAGGACTTCATGTTGCTATCATTTGGCATAACACAATCAGGCTTTTTTTTTTTCTCTTTTTAAATATAAGGCAACTTGCCAACACATAATTTAAAAACTGGTCTTCAGTCACACTGCTTCAGATCACTAGAGAATTTCTGGCTAAAGAACAGTGGATAGTATAGTAAACAAAACCCAAAATCTTAAATAAGAACATTAGCTCACATACCCCAGAGACAAGAGGAAAGGTAAGGGCTTATTTGGTTTAAAAAAAAATAAGCAGAGCCCAAATATGCATTTTAACAAGAGGGTGCAAAGAAATTACAACAAAACATAATCTAAGTTTAAAGTTACAAAAAAGTTTAAATTTCTAGCCAACTAATTGTCACTTGGGAGTGAGATGCGTTGAGCATGGAGTGGGCATGAGTGGAGACTGGGCGAAGGGCGAGGGTGTTTCCAATGTGCGCCCACCTCCAGCTGTTAGAACCACGCTTATCTGGTAAAGGAAGAATTCGAAGAGCTTAAGGCTTTGTGTTTTTCTTTCTTCATCAAACTAAGGGGCTGCGAAAGATGTCTACAAGGTGAATGTACCTGTGGGGCCACTCACACACAATGCTACTCAAATCCACACTACATTCATACAGAAACGTGACATTTAAAACTTACAGTATAGAGCAATATTCTTAGCCAGTGTAGAGAGAACCAAAATGTTTTTTTTTTGGTGTTTTAATTCTGAACTCCAATGTGATCATCCCTTACCTATCTAATTCCTCAAGTAAGATCAGTTTGTTTCACTTGGTTTTTTTTTGATGGGGGTGGGGGATGAGGGTAGCAGGTGAGACAGGAGGCAACAGTGAGAAAGGGATCTTGGGTATGCTGGATGGCTGATGCATTTCTCTAGGGCTGGAAAGGGGGATCAGGAACCAAGATACCAACACAGACATTTTTTCCCCATGTCTCAAGGCTATGGCCAAGTACCTGCAGGCTGCCCTTGAGAAGTGTGGCAAGGGTAAGTTTAGTGGCTCTGGGATCTATGTAGATGTAAAACAAAGCCTTGAGGAATAGAGAGATGCTGAGAAGAGATGAAGACTGGTCAGTTTTGATTTGAGGTCTTTGGGGCAAATAAGGAATTAGCTTCCAGAGCACTTGGGAAGTCTAGCTTCTTAGTCCCAGAGAGAAAAAGAGAGAGACAAACAGGGAGAGGCCTAGCTTACCTACAGCTACCTCACCTAGGGCGCTTTCCTTAGCTCACGTCAGTCCTGAGGGAAACAGGCAGAGCAAGAACACACAGGAGGTGGCTGGTGGGAAATGCAAGGGGGAAGGGGACAGACATGGCACAGGACTGACTGATAGGCAGGCAGCAAAGAAAAAAGCCTGGGATTGGGATAGGTCCTAACATAAAAGCTGCTGGGCTGGTGGAGGGGAGAGGATGAGGGCATAGAGAATGCCCTTCCGTCCTCAATTAGATCCCACCAAATTCCCTTTCTTTGACATCTAAGAATGATCACATTGGAGCAGTAAAACTTTGAAACTATCCAATTACTCAAAAGTAAGACTAAACCTAGAAGGGGGTGTATGATGTGTAGCTTGTGGAGGGCACCGGGGCTACCTATCTATATCCAGGGTGCTGAATATGAAGACTTCGACTATCTGTGGGATCAGGGGCTCGGTTGCCAGGGGCTCGGTGAGCCTTGCTCAGCATAGCCAGGCTCTGTTCTCGGAAGCAGGCCTGCTGGAAATCCCCACTTAGGTAATCCACTGTTTGCATCAGGCTGTTCTGGCTTGCCACTGGACCGCCCCCAGTCCCTGCTCGGTAGTGGGCCCCAGCAGCTGCTGCACAGTCGAGGGGTGCCCCCGTGGGCTGCCCACCATGGAACGGCATGGTGAGGTCCTGAGACCCCGAGCTGTCGCTATTGGGAGTGGGCAGAATGTTGTTCCACAGGGGTTGGAAGTAGTGACCATTGGGGTAGGCCAGTGGAGCTGCCAGGCCGTTGACTGGTGGGGATGGGGTTGGCTTCTCCATGGGTGGCTTCAAATGGAAGGACTGTGCCAGGCAGAGTTCCTGCGGGTAGGCAGGGGCCTTGCCCAGAAAGCCAGGCCCTGCCAACTCGCGTCCTGTTGCATGCTTGCCTGTCAGACCAGGGGCTGGCGTCCCACCAGCCTCACTGCACATCTGTTGTAGGTGGGCCAGCTGATGCTGGTTCCAGGCAACTGGCTTGAGGTCGTTAGGGTAGCCAGTGGGGGCTCGAGAGATGCCCGTGGGCAGGTTGACAGGGCCTGCAGCAGGCAATGCGGCTGTGGCCGCATGGGTGTGCTCCATGGGATTGACCACACACGAAGGCATTGGTGTGGGGACGCTGTGGGTTGACACCCGCGTGCTTGCATTGATGAGCAGACTGCGACTAATGGGGCTGGGGTTGGCGATCTGGCCCTCACACACTGAGGTAGTGCTGATGCCTGCCCTCGTCTGGCAAAACTGGTTGATCTGGTGCACAATGCTGCTCAGGTCCGGGGGCTGGCTGTGCTGCAGGGTGGCCGCCATTGAAAGGGGAATAGTTGAGGTAGACACGGTCACATTCGGGGGGGCATCTGAGTCTGGCATCTTCCGGCCTCCATGCAACAAGGGATTGGGGGGATGCTGAAGACCTTGGTGAGACAGACCCTGAGGGTGGACCAAGCCCTGGGTTTGGGCCATGGGCTGAGGGTGGCCCAGGCCCTGAGGCTGCTGGAGGCTCTGAGGGTGGGACAGCGCCTGGGGTGGCGGGATACCCTGAGGGTGCTGCAGCGTCTGGGGAGGGGCATGGGCCAGGGTCTGTGCATGCTGCAGGGCCTGCTGGCGGGCCAGAGCCTGGGCCTGGGGGTGGGCTAAAGTGCTGGGTGCCACAGTAGCATAGGGTGCCACTGGGGGGTTCATGATGGCCTCAGGGAGCAACCGGACTCGGGTGCCGTCAAAGTCCTTGAGTATGCTTTTGGCTGGCACTTTGACAATGGCAAGCAGGCCTGCCTTGGTGGCAGCCTGAGTCGGGTAGGGGCTGTAGCGCTGGGCTGATGTGTCGAGGCCGTTCACAGTACGACGAACGTGTTTCCGCTGGGGAACCTTCACACTGTTGGGGAAGATTTTTATAGTCAGTGGGTTGTTTGCGACCTTCTTAGCATACGCGTCCAATTCGGCTGGGGTAGGATAGTGAGCAGTTCTCATTTTCTGTGTAGTGTCCCCTAGAGAGAGAGAAGGGGAAGGAGAGCAAAGAAGGAGAGGGAGCTCATCAGTGCCAAGCCAACCAGCCCTTCTAGATTCCCCTTTTCAGGGCGTAAGGTGGGGCACTAAGTAAGTTGTCATCCCTAGTCTTTGTGTCAGACCCAGCCTCAGGCCCCAAGATACAGCAGTGCTAACATTTATTCAGTAATTATAATGGGCCAGGCCTTGTACTAAGTGACAGGCTATCTCAACAAATACTCGCTACTGCTTTAGGAAGCAGGTACTATCATAATTCTTATTTTACAAAAGACGTCACTAAAGATTGAAATAGCAGAGCGACTTTCAAAAGTCCAGTATGTAGCTGAGCCAGAACTTGGCCAGTTCTCACAGCAGTAACCAAGAGCTGTTCTACATGGAACACTCTCCAAGCTCTTACCAGCCCATACTGGCCTAGGGGTTAACAATTCTACACAGAGCTGCTTGTCAGAGCCCTCACTTCCTTTCCTTGGGACATCCTGGTAAACTGGGCACCCACAGTGACTACTTTTTTTTTAATTGATTTCAGAGAGAGGAAGGGGAGACAGAGAGAGACAGAAACGTCGATGATGAGAGAGTCATTGAACAGCTGCCACCTGCACGCCCCCTACTGGGTATCAAGCCCGAAGCCCGGGCATGTGCCCTGACTGGTAATCGAACCTTGATCTCCTGGATCACAGGTTGATGCTCAACCACTGAACCATGCCAGCTGGGCCAGAGTGACTACTCTTCAGTCTGCAGTGGCCAATGAGGCATCAGCTTTCTCCTTAGCCTTGGCAGCTGGGGCGTCATGCCCACTGGGCGGGCACCCTGGCACAGCAGACAGGATGCTTCTTTTTCAGGAGTAGAGGAATAAGCTGCCAACATCCCTCCCCCATCCCATGTCACAAGTTCACTTTTGTTTACAGCTTACTCTCAGCCTGATTGGGTGAAGATCAAAAGGCTTAATTTATTTCCTTGGGGTGTGTGTGTGTGACAATAATGACAGGGCAGCATGGAGGGAATTTGAGAAGGAAGGATTCAGAGAATCTTTAATTCCTGAGAGCCAAAAATAGTCTGTATTCGGCCCTTGTCAGCTGTCACTTTCCAAAATGAAAGAGGAAAAACCTGCCTTCCTTTGGAGACTACGGAAATACCCACTCAATGTGCCTCATTAATGTTAACGGTCTCTTTGTTCCCATCTCCAGTTGCCTCCCATGGGGGGGGGGGGGG